TTCACTCCATATTTAGGAGGAGACTCATCAATAGAATCTTTTGAAATTTTTAGTCTCGAGGTGGTAGGATTTGGAGCGAAATTTCATACATTTTTTTTTCATTTATAAATCCTTACAAATCTTTAAAAGTGTATTAAAAAGTCCTTAAAATCTTTAGAAATCTCAGTTAATTGACTTTGAAAGTGAAAATAGGTTTGAAATTTTATAGAGAAAACTCACGTTTTTTTCAATTATTATAATTGTTTCACCTTATCATCTCACTTTTTCAACCAACAAATTAGATAGAAAACAATTTCTATCTAATCCTACCTTGATAAAATATAGCTCACGTGACGCTCAAATACAAATTTATTTTTTTTTGGTACAGGGGACCTTCCGGTTTTCGGATCCACAAGGGAACCGATTAATCCGGAATCGAGCCGGGTAGGACCACAAGGGTGGCAAAGCTCTCCCTCAAGAGTTTTAACACTGCTGCATTCCCAGGACTCGAACTCGAGACCACTGGTTAAGCTGGAAGAGACCCAAGTCATCTCATCCAAGTGGTAAATACAAATTTATTTTTGACATAGTATAATGGTACACATGATCCAGATCAAAAGTATTTACCAAATGTCCTCTTACCTATGTCAATAATGCATCAAAATCTTGTCTTTTATCGCTCTCCATCAGTCGTCATCTCAAACGTCACACTTGCCGTCCTTTTTTATCCCTTCACTCCTATATTACTTGCCCAACTCCTTGAGTCCATTCATATCCACAAACTTGCAGAGCAATGGGTTGGCCACACCCACACGTACTCCTCATAACGTTCCCCGCCCAAGGTCATATCAACCCGTCCCTCCGCTTCGCCAAGCGGCTCTTGAGTATGGGCATCGAGGTCACCTTTGCCACGAGCGTCCACGCCCGCCAACGGATGGAGAAAACGGCGGTAGGCCCCGCCCCAAACGGCCTCTCTTTCGCCCCCTTCTCTGACGGCTTCGACGATGGGTTCAAGCCGTACCAAGACGACCACAAGAGGCATATGACCGAGATAAAGAACCATGGCTCCCGGGCCCTCAGGGACACCATTCTCAAGGCCTCCGATAGGGGCCGACCCGTTACGTGCCTCGTCTATACTCTTCTCCTCCCGTGGGCCTCTAAGGTGGCCCGAGAGTTCCACATCCCCTGTGCCCTCCTCTGGATCCAGCCTGCCACTGTGCTCGACTTGTACTATTACTACTTTGATGGCCTGTTTGGGGATATTAGCAGTGATAGCGTCCGGCTGCCAGGGCTCCCGCGTGTCACCTTCTCCGAGAGTGACCTTCCCTCCTTTGTCTCTCCCACCTCGGATAAGTACAGTTTTGTGCTCCCGGCCTTCAAGGAGCAGTTCGACACGCTGGATGCCGAGACGAGGCCTAAGGTTCTCGTCAACACCTTCGATGAGCTGGAGCCCGACGCGCTCCGCGCCATCGAGCGCTACCACGTGATCGGCGTGGGCCCGCTCGTGGATGCTGAGCCCTCCTTCGGGGGGGACCTGTTTGGGAAGTCCGAGGGATGCATCGAGTGGCTCGACTCGAAGCCTGAATCGTCGGTCGTGTACGTCTCGTTCGGGAGCCTCGTGAGCCTGGAGAAGCCGCAGATGGAGGAGATCGCGAGGGGGCTGCTCGGCTCGGGCAGGCCGTTCCTGTGGGTGGCACGACCGCCAGCCGGGGAGGAGGAAGGAGCAGCAGCCCGGCCGGAGGATTCGTTAGGGTGCATCGAGGAGCTTCGGGCGCAGGGGAAGATCGTGCGGTGGTGCCCGCAGATGGAGGTGCTTGCCCACGGGTCGGTGGGATGCTTCGTGACGCATTGCGGGTGGAACTCGACGCTCGAGAGCTTGTGGTGCGGGGTGCCGGTGGTGGCGTTTCCTGTGTGGTCGGACCAAGGGACGAACGCGAAGCTGCTGGAGGATGAGTGGGGGACTGGGGTCAGGGTGGGGCCCGGGGAGGACGGGAAGGTATCGGAGGAGGAGATCACGAGGTGCATCCAGCGGGTAATGGACGGAGGGGAGAAGTTCAGGGAGAATGCAGCCAGGTGGAAGGGTATGGCAAGGGAGGCCGTGGCTGAGAATGGATCTTCCTATAGGAATTTGAAGGCCTTTTTCAAGGAGTTGGAGTTGGGGCATTTGAATAATTAGTTTGTGTTTTGGTGCTAATTTTCTTTTTCAAAAGTTAAATCTTTTGAGAAATGAATTGTGGAACTTGTGAAAGAGTGTAGCAGAATTATTTTCAAATCAGCCCTTAGATTTGTGTTTGTGTTATTTTTTTTATTTTTTTATTTTTTTTGGTACAATGTTTGGATTATCTCTGATTGATCAGTTTTGTAATGTTTGTTTGACCGACTAACTGGAGTAGCAGGAGATGGGGGCCTGATTTGGGATCACAGCGGCACTCTTATTACCGTTTTTCATGCCTCTCTTCGGGCCTCCTCGAGCTATGACGCGGAGGTTCAGGCGTTGCAGATCGGTCTTTAGATTGCCGCTTCTATCTCCTCTCACATTTGGATAGAGTTGAACGTTGTCACTGTCACCACTCTCTTGTCAACTGGTCATCAGGGCACGTGGCAGATTCTGCACCCTCTCATTCGTATCAAAGCCACTTTTCGGTTGATTCGCTTCCGGATCTCACACATCTTCCGCGAGGGAAACAGATATGCTGACTTCCTCACTGGCATCGGGTCCTCCACCCCCGCAGAAAGACATTCTTTACCCTGATGATATTCATCTCTGCCTCCGCACCCTCATACGGATGGACCAGATGGAATACCCTTCATTTAGATTTGTGTAGTCGGTGTAGTCTGTCCTATCTTCTGGCGCACCTGCCACACTGTGATGCTGACTTGTTTGTCGGGACTCTCCCCGGACCAGGATATGTTATTTTTGTGTTTCTTGCTGCAGTTGTCAGCTTTTTCTTGTATATTTTCTCGCTTTTGTTTTTGGTTTTTTGGTTGACTTGATGTATATCAGACATTGCGCTTGTAGCCTTGGGACATATCAGCCAATTTAGGGCCTTTTTATATACAGGTTGGGTGTTCGACATTAACCCCCCACCCTCCTGGGGTGTTGTTCGTTAAAAAAAAAAATTGTTTCTTTAGGTTGAGTTTTTTTTTTCCGAAACGATAGATAAACTCAAATAATAGTAATATTGTCTTACAACCGAAAAGGCTTACTAGCCTTCAAAAAACGAAACCAACCAGGAGAACTGCAACACATGCGGCCTAGACAACCGAAAAAGCAAATAACAATTCTAAAGACAAATAAATAAAATTGGACCTAGACATGTTCACGGGTCGGTTGGTCGAACCAGTTCTGACCCTGAAACGACTTCCTAAGGGTCGGTTTGTTGAACCGGAACCTTAGGGTCGCGATTCTGTCTCGCTTCATAATTTTTTTTGTCCCGTCTATTAGGGTTGGGCCGGGTCAGGTCGCGTCGGGCCATAGATTGGACGACGGGCCACGATGTTTTTTTAAGGGCCATACCGGCCGGAAGCCCGTCGGGTCGGTGAACCAGAGGTTCATGGCTAGTCACGGGCCATGAGATTGAGGCTCGCCGACCGGTGGGTCGGGCTAGGCTGGGTCGCGGCCGATAATTGACCATGTCCAATTAGACCCTTTAACATACAAAAACAAACTAGCAAACCAAAAGCAAAACAACGTAAAAGAAACTATAACCACACCGCACATAAGAACCTAGGTCTACAGCTTTTCCACATCCATCAACCAGCTATCTCCTCTCGGCAAGGAACTCAGTCCATTCCCGCTGAGCCATCTGAACTATAACTATGACTGGATTGGACATCCAAACCATATGAAACACCCACATATTGCGGTGTCTTCCAGAGCCGTCATAAAATATTTGTAGACAACTGAATCGAGCCTTTGAAACCTTTGAACCATCCATAGTAGACACCCACCACCACCAATCTTTAAACCCACTAACTGAGGCAGCCTCAAAGTCCCAGTTCAAAGGTGACAATTTTCACACCTTTTTATCTCTACAACAGTGAAACAACAGATGTTCAACACTTTCATCATTCTCACTGCAACACTCACGAATCCAGTTAACAGCTACACCTCACCTTTTCAAGTTCAGACCCACAAGTAGAGACTCAGAGAAACATTTCCAAATGAAATGTGTTACCTTTTTCTTTATATTCAAGCCCCAACATCTTGTGCTTGCATTTTTGTCTCTCATAGTATAAGAACTGCTCTCAGCTCTGTCTAAGCTCTGAATTTTCTTCAAGATAGTATCGTCTGCTTACTTTTCTTTAGAAAATACTTAGACTTCGGAAATAATTTGAAATTTTCTAAACCATTATAGAATTAAAACATTTATCTTGTGCACTACGGAACATTTTCTTTTCAAAACTTTCTATAACATCTTTCTTTATTTCTTCCTAAAACAATTAACCTAAGCCTCACACTTAGGCTCTTAGAGAAATCACTTCCCAATACTCATCTTTGAAAAATTAACCTAAGCATCACACTCAGGTCCTTAGGAAAATCATAACCCAATTTCTCACATTCCTTTTCATATAATTTAAGGCAAAGCACATAGTCTCAACATAACCAACTCAGTCTCATTCCTAAAGCATAAATGACAATCCAGAGTTTGTAAAAACTTGCGAAAACAAAGCATAAAGCAATAATACACCACCGCACTCACGTGTCCACAACCAACTGCTCAGCCTAAAAATGATAATTGAGGAGGTGGAGAGGGTGAGCAAAACAACTACCCAACCTGGAGACTATATTATGCAGTTATTTGGATTAATTAACTGATACCAAGATATTATTATGAAACACAAATAAACTGATCATAATGCCTCTCACTTGCGCTACCCTCATGGGTAGGGTTATAACAAGCTTTACGTCTCACATGTTAGTGTTATATGTTGAAAGCGTGGTTTTGGATGATATTACATTTTTACCATTTGTGAATGAGAAACATGTTAGATTAAACAAATTCTATGTTTTGTTGTTTTACAACTAGATAGGGTGGGTCATCATTCTATCAGTTACTTGCGAAACAAGAGTGGTTCACAACCTATGTAACACCCCGCCTAGACTTACTAAAATCAGAGTAAATTTTTTGCTCTATAAATAGAAAGCACTGGTTTAATTTTAGAAAACTCATATTAATTTTTCGAAAATACTTTAACTTCAATATGCGGGATGCTACTCAACTGTAATATATTTTCTTTAGTTAATATGCATGCAACCAAGTAAAATTCATTCTAGAATTAAGGCCATGAAAATTTACTGGAATTACACATGCATTCTGAAATACTCAAATACTAAAATACTGTCTGAAATACTGGAATACTGAAATATTGTTCTGAAATTCTGAAACATAGTTCTGGAATGCGGAAGCAAATATAAGTTCGGAAGGCACAAAAGCATAAATAAACATGCAACGACAAAAGATAGTTCAAACATGTTCAAACAGATACATGACATGTTCACTCAAAATATACTGGCTGATGACCACCACCACATATCTGCTCATGCTCCACGCGGAACTCCATCACCTAAAAAATAGGGTAGTGGGGAGGCGTGAGCATAAAGGAATCAATGGTGCTCCGTCAGGACCGACACGGAATACTCAGTACAATTAATAACAAACTATGAAATCAACATATATATTAATAAACTGGTCGGGCTATGGGACTAACAGTAAACCGGTACTTATGTGCACACTCTGGGGGTCCTCTCCCATAGAAATCTAGGTTGGACATCGCCCACTCATCTGGATGCTAGACTTAGGCTGGGCATCGCCCACTCATCTAAGTCATAACTGAAATCTGACATCTTCACCAAGATGGGATTACTCATCCGTCTCGGTCCTTTAATTTAATCACAAATAAACCTCATACATGGTAAATTATTAAAAACGATGAAATACACAGTACATGGTCCTCAAGCTACAAAATATATTGAGCGAAATATTCTAAGTACGGGGCTCAAAATAAAACTCGAATTTATTATCTCATCTGACTAGGTTCGCTCACTCTGTCTTTAAAAATCATTTTAAAGATTTACGAGCTAATTTTGAAAATTATTATTGTCTTTGAGACATTCTAGAGTTATCTGAAATATTTCTAAGTTTGGAACTAAAATCTAACTTAATCTAATCTGACTAAATTCTAAACCATATATGGATCTTAAATCTATCTGGAATCTTAACTTTATTTGAAATCTTAAATATATCTGAAGATATCTGAAATTTATCTCGAACCGTCCAGACTAACCGGATCTGTTCGACTGAACTGGACCAGCGGCTCACTCGGAGCCGGTCGATCATTCGCTTGACTATGTGCAGCTCGATTTGACCATGGTCCGAGTTTGGCATGGCAACTCAGGCCGGCACGAACTCGACAGTCACGGCTTAGCCGTTGCACGGGTTTGAAACGGTGCCCTGGTCACTGACGCAGGGTCGTGCTTGGACCACGGCTAACGGATATGGCGTGTAGACGGTAGGTCTGATGGACTCGGTGCACGGGCACACACTCGGCGGTTTGACTTGGACTCGGTGCACGGGCACGCACTCGGCGGTTCGGCTCCAACGGTCAGACGAGAGTCGAGCACGTGTGCGAGACGATAATACGCGTTAAGAATTATTGTTATGACGTCTAAAGTTATTCAAACGGTATTAGGGGTCGGTCAATTATTTTTGGATCTGGTAAAATACTCGGTTATCAGAATCGGATAAAACTAGGGTTTTAATTCTCGAAAAGTCCTAACTCATTTAAGGCCGATAATTAAACTATAATTTTTTATGTGATTTATAATGAATTTGTAATCAACAACTACAGCTAAAATCACAATCGGACTAATATTCTATATTTATCGGATTAACGACTAAAGTCTCGATTTTATATCCAATTCAAACGACATCCAAAATTCACGAAATTGATACATAGCATCCTCAATATATAAATAGTCCGCGGTAAACAAATCAAGTCAAATGGAAACTCTTAACCTAGTCAACTCAAAATCGCTACGACCGGTCAACCCATTTGACCAGCTCGTTTGCCTACCAAACAAAGTCCAAAAATTCTCAAATCCGCACCTAAGACTCAAGAAAATGCAATGAATTTAGTGGTATTTATTTCAATATTTTATCGCAAATATTTAAA